ATACTGATTAAACATTTGTGAAGATACCAGTTGACAAACATAATAGGACTATGGACAAAAGAAAACACATGAAAACATTCAGTTTTTTACTTAAAGATATTTACTAATTGTAATACTATGATTTTTTTTACATCTTATTTACCATAATTAAAAATTAAACACATCACCATGTTAGATGTCTCTCAATACTTATCAGTGAAAGACCCCCAGTATGCTTAATTTGGAAACAACAAAAAGGCATAGAAAATTGTACGAACCAATTTACCCGTGTAATGGCCGCAGACTTTGAAACTCCTCGCCACCCCCATCTTTGGTAGCAGAAGAAATAGCAGCAGCTTCAGCGCAGGACGAAGATTCACCTCTCCCTGAAAACTTCCCCTTATCGCTTGCCATGACTTACCAACCAAGGAGTGAAGATCTTTGTATCAATCCCCACTCTAAAGCAGTACTCCACTGAACAGGGTTTCCAAAGCATCATAAAGAAAAACCTAGAAAACTTTCAAAAGAGTGCTCCACTGAAATCAACAACAAAGACTGTCCCAAAGAAAATCAAATAAAGAGATATTAATAATTCGCCCAAATTTTATCAAATTGGTGGCGTAAAAAGCTACAGATTCAAAAGAAAACGCCCTAAAACACCAATTTCAACAAAATTGAGGTTCAAGAAAACAAATTGGCGATGAGTTTGAGAACTGACCGTCAGGGAAGCGACCTTCGGGAGCGACGGCAAGAACGGGAACCGGTGAGAACTGACCGTCAGGGAAGCGACCTTCGGGAGCGACGGCAAGAACGGGAACCGGTTATCCTTCAAGCCTTACGTCAATGCGTCGACGATGCCGAAGGAGGCCAACGTGAAGGCGGCGGCGGGAGCGGAGGAGATGCAGATGAAGACGATGTGGAGGCGGCGGCAGGAGCGGAGGAGGAGGAAGAAGATGGGTGAGGGATTTGAGAGATTGGGGTTTGAGATGAGGGATTTCAGATGAGGGATTTGAGGGGATGGGGTTAAGGGGCGCGGGGCTTTTTGATTTTGGGGGAAATTTTTGGGGGGAAGCGAAAGAGAACGGAGAAAATATATGTTTTAATATATGTTTTATTTTAAAAAAATAACTAAATCACCCAAACCATTGGTCAATTCAGGGTTGTGAAACCTATCTCTAAACAAAAATCTAATTTCTGTCCATCCTTAAAAGGACTAAAACATTGTTAGATTAAATGATTACTTCGAGCCTGTTACTAGTCATGTTGGAATATCAAAAGTAACATACAAAAACCAATGTTAGATTAAATGAAGTTTACCTAATTTCTTCAAGTCTCCGTAGCCTGTCTCAAAATAAATTAAAATAGTGAAAAGTTACTCCATAATTGTTAAACTAAGTGAAATAAACAAACACCATGAAGCAAGATTACCTTTGAAATTGTTCAGTGTCTATAAATTGTTGAATAATTTCCTTGCTAATAGGTTTTTTTTACGACAAAACGGTTCCTTGTAAAACAAAAACTTTTAGCGAGGAAGCCTTAAATTTGTTGCTATTGAAATTAGCGGGTTTTGTACAATTTTTTGTCAAACTAATAATGAGAAAACTATTATTTCCTTGCTAATTGGTTTTTTTAACGAGTAAACAGTTCCTCATAAAACAAAAATTTTAGCAAGGAAACCTTTAATTTGTCGTCAACGAATTTGGCGGGTGTTGCAAATTTTACCGCCAAATTAATAGCGAGGAAACTATAATTTCCTCACTAATAGATTCTTTTTAACGAGGAAACGGTTCCTCGTAAAAACAAAACATTTTAGCGATGAAGTCTTAAATTTGTCACCGCCAAACTAATAATGAGGAGACTATTATTTACTCGCTAATTGATACTTTTGATGAGGAAACGGTTCCTCGCAGATTATGGATCTTCAGTGAGGAAATCATACTTTGTCGTTGTTACATTTGACGGATTTTTCGCCAAAAGAACAGCGATGAAATGATTATTTCCTCGTTAAATGTGCATTTCGCGATGAAAAAGTTCATCACCAAAATCTCATATTTCCTCGCCAATAAAATAACTAGTTAGGAGACCGAATCATGATCATCTTTAGTGAGGAACTAAAATTTTCATCGTAGAAAGTGGTCTACTGTGAGGAAAATATATTCCTCGTAGAAGACCTACTGATATTTACCGAGGAAATAATATTTTCCTCGTCGAAAGTGATATTTGTCGAGGAAAAATAATTTCTCGCAAAAAAATTGGTCGCTAAAAGACCTATCTGTTGTAGTGCCTCCTCATCCTTGATCACCTCGTCTCTCTCTTCTCTCTTGCCCATTTCCTTGACAACTTCATTCTTGGTAACATCGTCTCTCTCTCCTTTCGAGCCCTCTTCATCCTTAACCATCTGCTTGTCCTCCTCATCCTTGGTCACTTCTTCTCTCTCTTCGTTCTTGCCCATTTCCTCGACACCTTCATTCATGGTGACGTCGTCTCTCTCTCCATAGTTGTCATCTCCATCGATTTCATGCTTGTCCTCTTCTTCTTCTTCCACTGTTGGGTTTCCTTTCAGCTGCTGTGCAATAAGCTTCTTCACATTGTTCTTTAAAATCAAGGGATCTACTATGTCACAAGATTCGTCCAACCCCTTAACCTTTTCGTTAAGTCTACGAATCTCGTCCATGAAAGTTTGACAATACAATTTCTTCGAGACCCTCAGTGTACGGCAAAGTCTCTGGTTTACTTTAGCAGCATTTCTCCAAAATTGCAGTTGCTCCTCAACCGGTAACGTTTCAATCTCATCTTCCCTTTCGAAAGCCTCATCAATGGCTTTTGACATTATCTATAATTTAGAAATATCAAAGAGTTAAAATCAAGTTTATAAAGGTTAACAGTAAGTGGTCCATAATTGACACAGATAATTAAAGGTTCTTCAATCATCTATAGGTAACATGTTAACTCTTGCTGCTAATATGTTAACTCTCTCTGGTAACATGTTAACTCTTGTAGCTAACATGTTAACTCTTGTGATAATATGTTAACTCTTATTAAAACATGTTAACTTTTGTTGCTAATATGTTAACTCTTGTTGCTAACATGTTAACTCTTGTGCATACATGTTAACACTTGTAGAAAACATGTTATCTATTGTTGCTAACATGTTAACTGTTGTAGAAAACATGTTATCTATTGTTGCTAACATGTTATGTATTCTTGTGATAATATTTAGCACCTTAGAACTTACCAAACCTATTGACCATCTCTTCTCATGTTCCTTCTCTTCTTCCTTCTTTTCAACCTTCTTTTCTTCTTCAATCTTCCTCTTCCTTACTGCTGCTTTCTTGGCCTCCCTATGTACGACTGGAAATTGTGGTACAATCCCTTCCCTTCTAAGCCTCATCAATGGCATTCTGATTGGATATTTCTCATCGGATGAGCCAATTTTAGCTATTGGTTTTTGTACAACCTGGATGCTAGCTTTTGCAGTCTTGGCAACTATTGTTCTATTTCTAAAAGATCCATACTTCTCACCAATCTTCACCCAGTTAGTGAGGGGTGGTTTGGATCTATTGCTCAAGGCATATCTTTTAATCCCCGTCATTTCATAATACCATAGCTGCAAACAATTAATACATGTTAGTATGCAATACTAATCTTTTAAACATGAATATAGTTAACAGAACTCATCTTGCAATATAGTTAACACTGACAACACCAACTTTAATACTGGAAACACTAAAGTTAACATGAACCGAAATATAGTTAACAAGATCCTTAGAATAGTTAACATGAACCAGTAAGCCTTAATGGTTTCTTGACGTAAGTTGACAGAAAACAAGCAAGCGTTCACATGCACAGATTAATCCAACTTACAGGGATCAAAGGCATGCATCCAGGTACATAGCTTATTCCTGACCTGTGCAGACCTTCCCTGGCTATCTTAATTCCTTTCTTCGTCTGATCATAGATGTATTTCCCCCAGGCCACATTCCTCACTCTTTCAATTGAATCAACATATTTGAACAAGAGCCTTGGGATGCCTTGGACACTGCTAGGGCACCACATCAATGAACATTGATAAAGTATCTGCAGTAACACAAAATCTTCAATATCCTTCTTCTTTCTTGATTCAACAAGAGATTGCAGTAGCTCTTCCACATATCGCCGCATATTCTTCGCTGATTTCTTTCGGTTTCTAGTAAAATGTTTATGAAAATACTCCACCCAAAGCCTAGGGAAAGGATCTCTATTATTGTAAATTATTTCCCCATCAATTGGGAAACATGTATGTTCATGCACCCAGTCCATATCAAAATTAACAACCTTTCCTCTCCCACTTTCGGCATCGGGCAGAGAAAACGCCACTTCATTACCCTTATAGTGTCTCAATACAAGTTCCAGCGTGGGTCGATCTTTTGCTGGGGGGCCAAACTTTACATAATACTGGAATGTACACCCTTGGTATGCATCCCAATGACACTGCCGCATTCTCGGTTCGAGGACTTTCATAAATTTACAATATGCGGAGAAACTTGCAGTGGGTCTAATTTTAGCAGCACCTGACTTTTTCCTGTATTATAATTAAACATTTAACATCAACAACACTTGACATCCAACATCCAATAGTTAACATGCAACAATGAACTGTAACAGTTACGCTATAAACCTTAACACTTAACAGCCAAACTTAACATTAATAAGAGGTATATAGTTCACATTTAACATTAAGGTATCAGCTAACATGTCCTTCAACCAATGTCCAGGCATATAGTTCACAATTCAACTTCAATCCCTTAACATCTATGTAAATTGGAAAATATAACATATAACATTATCTTACTTCTTTATGGATTTCTGTGGTGCGTTTAGTGAACTTGTAATTTTTCTTTTTCTCCTTACACCCATCTGGAAACTCAACAACGTTTGGGTGGCTTCATCGGTGCTGCCATTCCCTGATGATGACGCATGGGTGGACGACGACTTGGAGGCAGGGGAGGATGTGAGAGAATCGGTGCCACGGTCGGTCTCAGATGGCAAAGGGGGGTCTTCGTCGGTCTTGGAAGGCGAGGGAGGATCTTCGTCGGTCTTGGAAGGCGACGGCGAGTCTTCTCGCTCGTCGTTCATTGGTGCATGTTCCTGACGTTGCAGCGACGGCGGAGGATGGTGAACCACTTCGTATCCGTTCGCCGATTTTTTCTCCATCTGCGAACTGGTTTCGACCTAACCCTAGAAGCGGATTTTGGTTTTTCGCCGGAGAGTAAGCCAGAGACAGAGTGCGGGAGGGAGAGAGAGGAGAGAGAGAGAGAGAGCGCCTCGATAGTAGCGGAGTGGGCGGCACCGTTACCAACGCACGATGGCTGTAGCAGAGTGGGCGGGAAGGGTAGATTCGGGATTCTGAGGATTGAGTGAGCTGGAGGGGCTAAAATGAAGTTTTGGAGTGTATTTTGGGTTTATACCAAACTTTAAAAGTACAGGGGGCTGTTGCACATTGTTTTTTCAATTTTGAGGCCTTGAAGCAATTTTTCCTTATATAAATGTGTAGTGCTTTTTTAAATATGTTGGCAGTTGCCATGTTTGGGAAATAAAAGAAACCTGGTGCATTTTAGGGGGGGAAAGAATGTATGCATTTTATGGATAGCTTTTATAAATTTCTTTAATGATTGTATAATTTATATATTTTTAGTCCCCACAAAGTCTCAATAAAAAAACGATTCACCTAGAATGAATATCACGATCGCTATTCAACAGGGAAATATAACAATTTCATCCACTTACAAATGGCAGTTGCTTGTAATAAAAAAATATCCTCTCAAATACCCCCTTTTTTTTTACATGATAGAATTGAGATGAACAACTTAAAATAAAGCACCTCCGAACTCCATCGTGCAAGTTAATTATTTTTACCAAAACAACGCGAGACTCCAACAGGCCTCATACGCTCACCAACCCCTTCGGGGTTAAATTCAAAGAAGGAAATAAAAAACAGGCAAAAGAAATTAAAAAAGAAACTGCCATGGAGGCTTAATAGCCAAACTAAGGCGATAAGACCAAAGCCTCAACAAGCTAGCTTAGTCGGTTCCGAACACAAACAAACCCCCCTCGCTGCCGCCTCGCGCTGCAGACCGCTCAACCGTGCCACCCCCGTCTCTCGCTCGTCCTCCACGTGTCCCCCACCCCCCTCCCCCCCCACCCCCCACACCCACGCCACCCCACCTCACCGCACCTCCACCCCTTAATTTCTCGCTCTGGACGCTCTCTCAGCTCCCTTCAGTTCACAGCAATTAGCCAAGAGGAAATTTGAGAGTTTTAATTAGTTTGGCTACTAGTACATATTGGAGCCATGCAGGCCTCCGTCGGTTCGCCTTCGGCGATGCTTACCACCCCGACACAGTACGTGCCGCCCTCGCCGAGTTCGTCGCCACCGCCATCTTCGTCTTCGCCGCCGAGGGCTCCGTCCTCTCCCTCGGTAAGATTTCCACCAACCATGTATGATATTGGATGAGCTGAAAAAATTACGATTAATTGCACGTGCATGCCTAATTAAGCCTGTATATATATATGCATGTGATTACGTACGGTCGCAGGGAAGATGTTGACGGACACAACCACCGCCGGGGGTTTGTTCTCGGTGGCATCGCGGCACGCTTCTCGCCCTCTTTGTTGCCGTCTCCGTCGCCTCAACGTCTCCGGCGACACATAAACCCTGCGGTCACTTTCGGCGCTCTGTCGGCGGCCGATCCCCTTCGTCGCGTGCGGTCCTCTACTGGTTGGCTCAGCTCCTCGCGCTATACTAGCTTCCCTCCTCTTGAGGATCGCTACGGGAGGCATGGTAACCGTATCTTGATCTCGAAGAACTGTTTGTTTTTTAATTTTTATGAGATGCAGCTGGTTTTCTGCCCAGCACGGTCCAGCGTCGTACGTGCACTGATTCAAGAACAGACAGTTTTAGACAGTTTTTTAATGGATAATTTGTTTTTCGATTTGTGTAACAAACTTCATAATTTTCTTTTCTGATCAAATTTTCACTGTTGACTCAGAGGCCGGTTGGATTCTCGGTCGCATCCGGAGTTGGCGTCTGGCACGCCGTCCTGCTCGAAGTCGTGCTAACATTCGGGCTCATGTACACGGTCTACGCCACGGCGATCGACCGAAGAGAGGGGGCTCGGGACGATCGCGGCTGCTCGCCCTCGATTCTCTCCTCGGGCGAATCGTTTTGGCCGGGGTCCCTTCGATGGGGGCCTAGCGATGAATCCGGCGAGGGCTTTTGGGCCTGCGCTAGTGGGCTGGAGGTGGAGGCACCACTGGGTTTATTGGGTTGGGCCTTTTGTTGGTGCCGGGCTCGCTGGGCTTGTTTACGAGTTCATTATGATACCGCAGGCTGAGGCTCCGCTTGCTCATCAGTCCTTGCGTCCTGAAGATTACTAGGGTTTTAGTTTATGTTGCTCTTAATGCTGTGAAAAGCTTTTTCCTTCTCTTTTTCTTTTTTCTTTTTTATTTTTTTTCCTTTCGTGGTTTGGGTTTGTGATGAAGGACTAAGAAGTCGAGTATCTAGAAGTGTATTTGTTATTTTAAGCGAAATAAATGCGAACTTTCTTTCTCTGGTTTATGTATGATATATGTTGTACTAATACTAGTGTAATGATGGTTGATTTTAGTACGTTTGGAATTTTTTTTAGGTAGAACATTCTTTGTGATACTAAAGAGATATAAAAATTATAAAAATGATGTTAGAAAAAGGGGAAAATTGTATATGAGTTCATAGGAAAAAATGTACAATGAGTTACTCACTAATGGTAATAGTACTTGGGCTCATCCGATGTGACAAATCTGATGTGACAATTCACATCCGATGTGGATTGTTAAATTCGATGTGTACAATCCACATCGGATGTGTGTAGGGTCTTGTATTTGTGAGTGATATGTTCATTTTGTAAAATGAGTTGTCAGTTTATACTCACAGTCCTCTTCATATATAATTTTGTAAAACGAGTTGTGAGCTCGTGCCCTCACATCCGTTGCCCTCTATAAAATTATGTAAAATTATATATTTGTAGATGTTAGGATATGTGAAGCCTAACTATCCGGCTTGCCCTAGACCTTATTTTGAAGAGGAAACATGAGAAATTAGAGGAACAGGAACGACATCGATGAAGGTCAGGCAAAACGACGAAGGAATCAGCTTGGAGGCTTCACAATTGACCGCGAGTGGCGCGGCGGTCGATCGCGAACTTGCACAGATCCACAAAAAGTCTCTGGACTTTTTACGGTCGACTGCGACATCATGTGCGGTCGACCGCGACATCATGTGCGGTCGACCGCGCCAAATCCTGTAATCAGATATGGTCTCGGGATTTTTTGCAGTCGACCGCGACTGTATTTGCGGTCGACCGCGAGTTGGGTTTTTTGGGCATGTGCTCATTTTTGCTGAACTATTTTAGAATCTTGTTTGTATTAACCCTTGTGTTATTAAAGGGGAGATTAGTGCAACTTGTAAGATTGACGAAAATAGTAAAATTTTCTCCTGCGGCAGCCGTGGACATAGCTTCTCACATCGAGAAGTGAACCACATAAATCTTGTGTGTTTTGTGTGATTGTTTTCTCTCTCTTCTCTCTCATCTCTATTTCCAAATCACATCAGGGGGTTAGATAAAACCTTATCAATTGGTATCAGAGCGACCAGGTTCGACGTAGACGATTTGAGGTCAGAGACATGAGATCTGAGAAGGAGACGTCTAAGATCGAGAAGTTTGATGGGACAAACTTCGGGTTCTGGAAGATGCCGATGGAAGACTGCCTCTATCAGAAGGATCTATATCTGCCATTGGGAGAGAAGCCGACGGATATAAAGGATGAAGAGTGGAAGCTATTAGATCGGAAGGTCCTTGGAGCAATCAGGTGGACCCTATCCAAATCTGTACCTTTCAACATCAAGAATCAGAATTCGACAGTGGATCTCATGGCTGTGCTATCTAGTATGTATGAACAACCCTCTGCGGCGAATAAGGTACATCTTATAAAGAAGCTGTTTAATTTGAGGATGTCCGAGAGCTAAAAATTCTAAGAACACCTGAATAAGTTTAATGAGATTACGGATCAACTAAACTCCATCAATATTAAATTTTATGATGAAATTCAAGCTCTGTTAATACTTGGTCAGTTGCCTGATAGTTAGAAGGGCACCGTTATTTCGATTAGCGGGTCATATGAAAAATCAAAACTGAAGTTTTCAGAAGTTGTAGACATGATTATGACCGAGGAGATAATAAGACAAGAAGAAGGAGTTTCTAATTCAGGGTCGGCATTGAATTTTGAGAGTAGAGACAAAAATAAAAATAACAATATAGGGAATCATCGTGGTAGACCTAATTCGATGAACGACAGGTCAAGATCCAAAAATCACAAAAGTAAGAAAGAGATTGATTGCTGGAACTGTGGCAAGTTTGGGCACTATGAGAATCAGAGAACAAGACTGAAGCGAACGTCATCTCAGGAGAATCAGATGATGTCCTTATTTGCTCGTTGGAGAGTAAGACAGAATCATGCGTGCTAGATTCAGGAGCTTCGTTTCATGCTACCTCAAATAGAGATTTATTTGAGAACTATGTTTCAGGAAACTTAGGAAAAGTCTATCTTGGTGATGATCAACCGTGTGATATTGTTGGAAAAGGAGCGGTACAAATTAAACTCTGTTTGGTGGAAAATTTTGTAACAAGAAAATAAGAAAAGAACTGTACTTGATTTTATTCTCTCTAACTTACAATTGGATTTCCTGATTACAAAAGAGAAGAGAATGAATTTGATTCTCTCCTTTGTTTAATTCTGGGTTCTTCACGGTGGCGATGAGATGCTTCCCTCGAATGTTCGCGTCGAGTTTGCTTCTCGTTGACGATCCGATGTCTTGTTTCACTGGAACGTGGTCTTCTCCTCACGATTTGACGTTGTGGAGAACTCTGAACGAGTTTAAAACTCTATGAAAGAGTTGATTTAACCAAAAGTCGGTTATAAGCCAATGATGATGAAGATCTTATTGCCGATCTCCAAAGCTCCGACCGCCTCGAAAGATCCAGCCCTGATCTGATTATCAAAAATCCGATCTTTAACTCTGTTGAGTTTGTTGTTATTTATAGGGGATTAAGGGGTGTAACCACCTCCTTAATTCGCTCCTAAGTGGGGCTAATAGGATGTAACCGCTCCTTAAATCACTCCTGAGTGGAGTTGTGATCCCCTCAAATCGTGGGAAACGGTTTTGAAACCGTTCAACTCGTGTTTGGGTATAGAGTTGCGTTGGGCAGCGCTTGGAGCTGCGTTGGGCAGCGTCGGGCGGCGAATAGAGCTGCGTTGTGCAGCGATGTTGAGCTGCGTCGGGCAGCGATGTTGAGCTGCGTCGAGCTGCGTTCGTGGCTATGAACGCGATGCGTCTTGATGCTGGTGTGCGGGGAGGACTTCCGCAGCTTGATTTGAAGAGACCATCGATTTGTAGTCTCTTTCTGTCGAAGCGTTGCAAAGATCGTCATTTTGTAATCTTTACTTTAGCTCTTTGATATGCAAGAGTCGTCAGATTGTAACTCTCGATGTTGATGGTGAAGGCTGTTAAACTAGAGCTCTCATCGGTTGTCATGAAGGTCGTCAGATTGTAACCTTCAGCGATCTACGTAAAAGTCTTCAAATTGTAGCCTTCTGGAAGTCGTCAGATTGTAACTTCCATCATCGGTGTTTGATGGGGATCAGCTATCTATTGTGATTTTTAGACAGCCTACAAACTCAATGGGTCTATATGAAAGCTGAATGATGTGAGACATGTTCCTAGCTTAAGGAAGAATCTGATCTCCATAGGACATTTGGCAAAAGAGGGATATACATCAACCTTTGCATGTGATACGTGGAAGGTTACCAAGAGGTCTATGATTGTTGCCCGTGGTACGAAGAGTGGATCTCTCTACATGACGATAAATGCATGTGGATCCATTGCAGTGGTTGAAAGTAAAGAAGATCCAAATTTGTGGCACCAGATGCTTGGTCACATGAGTAGCAAAAGCCTGAAGGTTATGCAGTCGAATGGAAAGTTACCAGGTTTGAGGTCAGCTGACTTTGATTTATGTGAAAGTTGAATCTTCGGGAAATAAAAGAGAATAAGTTTTAAAAGAGTTGGCAGAACACCGAAGGAAGAGAAGCTTGAGCTAGTTCACACAGATGTGTGGGGTCCAGCATCAATACAGTCCACTGGTGGAAGGTTATACTTTGTGACTTTCATAGATGATCACTCGAGGAAGACTTGGATCTATTTCATGAAACACAAATCATAAGTATTTGAAGTCTTCAAGAGATGGAAGGCTATGGTAGAAAACAAAACAGGGTTGAAGGTCAAGAAATTACGATCAGATAATGGAGACGAATATGAAGATTCAAAGTTAAAAAAAAAATCTATGAGAGTAGCATCAGATTGGAGAGAAAAGTGCCAGGTACACCTCGGTAGAACGACATAGCAGAACGAATGAACAAAATATTGACTGAAAGATCTAGAAGCATGCGACTTCAAGCAGGACTCCCAAAGAAATTCTGGGCAGAAGTAGTCAACACAGCTACCTACCTGATCAACCAGGGACCTGTTGGGTCCTTTTGTTTTGATGATGATTAACAAATAATTTATAACTAATGTTGTTTGTCTAGTATTTGTGTTTTGTATTTATTCTAGGCAAACAATATGTTGGAGGTTGGATGGAATCGAGCATTCACGATTATATCCTATGGAGGTTGGCGGAATAGTGGTTGAAACCTTACAATTCAAGTTGAAGATCCAAGTTCAAGCTTCATCCGCAAGTGTACCAAGTCGAGCTTATTGAAGACCTTTATCAAGCTTGGGTATAAATAGTTTCGGTTTTATATTATGTGTGTTAAGTACTCTAAATATACATATGTATATGTATACATATACATATGTATATGTATATATGTATACATATACATATGTATATGTATACATATACATATGTATATGTATATACATATATACTATATATACATATATATATATATATATACTATATATACATATATATATATATATATATCATTATATATATATATATATATATATATATATATATATATTATATATATATATATATATATATATATATATATATGTATTTATATATATAATATATATATATATATATATATATATATATATATATATATATATATATAATATTATAACTGTATATACATATATACTGTATTATATATATATATATACTATATATATATATAACTGATAATATATATATAATATATATATATATTATATATAGTAGTATATATATAATATATAGTACTGATATATCATATATATATATATATATATAATATATATATATATATATATATATATATATATATATATATATATATATATATATATATAT